TCACACTTGCGACCTGGAACTCCGAATATCGTGGTCACGAGAAGTTTGAAGATTGCATGTGTATAAGAGAACTTCTATCCCTAGCTGTTGCTGAGTCCAGGGAAACACGTGAAGCAAGGAGAAAAATCAGTCAGCCTTTCATAACTGCTCTTGCTAAGAACAGAATTATCGCGTATTAAGGAAGAACAGTAATGTTTTTGATACTAATTACATCGTTTTTGCTTCTTAAGAACTATGTGCGCTGAACCTGAAAGCGGCTTTATGTGAGTTGCCAGTAACATTTGTTCTTCAGATTGATTAGGTCCTAGACGTAAACAGTGGAACTTCTGTTATCAATCACCAATGTCTTAGAATATGCTTCTCGCTCATATTTATTAAGCTGGGATTCTACATGAATTGGAATAATCGGTGCTGTTGCTTGTTTGCCGTTTAACCTAACCGGAGCAGAAGCAGGACAGCAGCGAATTTGAGAGAAGGCATAATTTTTGCAGATTTTAGCAGAAGCTGTAACCCAGCTTTTGCTCTCAACCCCGTCATCATATAAAGGCTTTTTTGTGGAATACAAAAAAAAAATCCTAGACGTTAGAACACTTCCTTTATGGATTCTTGGAAGCAGCTTAAAAAAGGACAGATTAAAATTTCTGTTAATTAGTTGAGGCTGTGACTGCTGAAATTTAATACGACTTAACTGAGGCAAGAACTGAATTTCGACTGAGTTTTTAATTGTTGAAGCTGCTATTGTAAGGTGCGACTGCAAAGTGCGTGACTCAAAAAGTTTCTAGCGGACTACAGATTTAGTTTTTATGTTTTACTTTCAAGAGCTCCCAAATTGTAGGATGGTTTTAGGCTTGACGTATCGGAGAACCAATTAATTTCAGTTGACTGACAGAAATTTTTAGACAGTTGTGTAGCTATATTTTTAGGCAGAGTTCGCATGCTAACGAAGGCCATTTTTTTACAGCTGTTTGGAGTAATTAAATCAATCTGGTGCTCATATTTTTTGAAAACAGCCTTTTGAATTTCTTGTGCTCGCTGGTGATATTTTACGCAAATTAACAAGATCCCTGTCTACCAAGGTAATATGGAGAACGAAGTAACGGTAAATTGACTAGAAAGTTACATTTTCCAAAGCTTCCACAGCTACTACACTTTCTCTTTTTTTTTTTTTTTTTT